AAATATTCTATAATTTCAGTACTATTCACTTGATGTTTTCTCTAAAACAACAACTTTTCTTGCTCATATAAATAAATATTCTTCCTTATATTCATGTATTTCTCAGTGATCTGCCAAAGCGAAAAACATATGGTCTGTTCAACCTCCTATCCATCATAAATCTGCACTTCCCAAATTTTGCTCATTGTCAGCCCTTGTACCCTTTCAGTTAGAATTCTATCAAATACTTTCCCAGACACACTTAAACTAATTCTCCTGTAATTCTGCCTTCACTTTTGCTATCTTTTCCTTTGCAGGATAATAACAATGGCATTTTTCTAATGGTCACATACAAAAGCAATCTTTGCACACGTGTTAAACTACTTACTCAGCCGCTCCATAATCAAGCCACATTCATATTTACACAGTCTAGACCTGTAGCATCATTTTTCAACATTCTCACAGTATTTATGACTTCATTTTTTTCTTGGATGTTAATATTTACAGTTTTGTTTCAGTTCCAGTCTTCAACATATCGCTATCATTCCCATAGAAATCTATAAATGTTCTTTTCAGCATTTCCTCATTTCAGTGTCATCCCCAATAATTCCATCACTTTTATTTTTAATGTCAGTCATACTGCTCTAGGGTCTTTGCTTAAACCTTTGCTTCACTCATTTCCAACACTTTTTTTTTTTATTTCCATCAAGATTGCACTGTACTTTCTCTGCCTGTTTTACTTGCTTGTTTTGACTACACTCTTTGCAGCTATCTTTTTGTCTCACACACATGAAGTATCTTTCTCTTTTCCTAATTTTTTGCAGTGAATTTTTTCTAAAACGCATCATTTCTTCCATTATCACCATTCTATAACATGCAACTATCCCCATCCTATGGGTTTTATGTATACCCACAGCAACCTAAATGACACCAAATCACAAATTTTAGCCTTTTCATTCACAATTTTATACTTTAACTTTCCTGTCTACATTCATCAGTTCCACTCCACTAAATCAGACCACCCTTTTGTTTTCTCTTAGTTTTACAGATATATAGCATACCTTTTTTTTTTTTTCATTTTATGCATTAATTCCTGCTCTTTATTATTTTATCCTCTTGCATTTTATGCAGGCCCACAGATATTGACATCTGTCATCCATCATAGTTTTGGTCAATTATGGCTTAATACTTTTTTGAAAAATACAGAAAATGTAGGCTATATTATTAGCCTAATTCA